TTCAAGCGGATGAAGAAACTTTTTGAGTTGTTTGATTTGTTTACTGTAGTGGCTTTTGAAAAAAAAAAAAAAAAAACAAGGACTTAGTGATACACTGATCAATACATGCAAAGAGAAACAGGAATATATACAATACACGCAAGAGAAACAGGGATATATACAATACTGGTCAATACACGCAAGAGAAACAGGGATATATACAATACTGGTCAATACACGCAAGAGAAACAGGAATATATACAATGCTAATCAATACACGCAAGAGAAACGGGAATATATACAATGCTGATCAATACACGCAAGAGAAACAAACGTATACAATGCTGATCAGTACACGCAAGAGAAACGGGAACGTATACAATGACTTTGAATCTCGTTGAGTCTGTCCCATTCGGACAGTAAAGTCCCGAGTGTTGTGAAATACTGAAATAAACTATTCCATAACATAATGTTCATCTTAGTAAAACTTTCCAGTTATCGGTGGAAATGCAGTCGATTAAAGTTATCAGACGTAAATGAGAATTACGGTTCAGAATTTGTTCAGAAACATATGGAACGAAGTCGAAACTAAGGTTAACTACCTTATTTCGGAAATTACTGGCAGGCAAACACGTTTTATTTTTGCATCTACCAATTAATTAATTTCAAGGAAGTTTACTTTCCCCCCTTCTTTCCAAGTTTTCGTAAGACCATTGGCTTGACCTACAAAGAAAGACTTGTATTAAAATGGCATGCGTCTGGTTCGTGTTGATGATCTAGTTCTCGTTCATTATCAGTTACGTCACGAACTTCAGCTTCACACCATCTGGTGAATATTATGTGTACCAAGAGCTTGAAATTAGAAATAACCGATGTGTGATCTTATTCCTTGGCATCAAATATGTTTACATCTCAACCCCCCTTCATTTCTTAAATATTTGTCTGTACTCCATTTTATATTCATTGGGTGAGTGTGTTCCGTTTGTGTTCAAACTGCTAACAGAAAGACTTTTGTATCAGTTACTTTTAAAATTCCAGTACACGAAATAGCTTTTATCTGTGATAGCTCTTATTTTCATTCACTAGCAAAACGTTGTTCATATGACAAGTCAATATGGTAGGCACTTTTTTCTTTATACCCAAAATAAGAAATCTTGAAGAGTTCACCGACTTTTACAGTGATGTATATTTAGGAACGGGTATGCCAATTGTATGTATCAACTGCACTAAAGCTGATATCCAGATATAATGATATGATTTTATAGTATAAAAGTGTGTACCCCAGTGGCTCAGACTGGACATGTGTTTCTAAAATTAGCCCATTGTTCAGCTTTGTGCTTAACAACAAAACAACCAAAAAAAAGTGTAAACGTTTCTTTTATCGATATACACAATAAAAAGTCACCTTGTGTTAGCTAAGGCAGGATTGGGTTTCAGTTTTGTTTACGTTATACCTTTTACAGTATATTAGCCTGCACGCGTTGTTGCGTGCTCAGGCGTAATTCAGTGTTGAAAAATCAGTGTTACAGCTATCCAGAATTGACATCAAGCGACTTCGGCAGCAAATTTGCTTTAAGTTCGAAAGTAAGATTATGAAAAGAGATAATGCGTTAAAAAAAAAGTACTTGGATGTACATTAACAGTAAAAAAGTTTACGATGTCTCCCTCTAGTTTAGAAAACCTCAGCATTGCAAAACAGATGAAAGTATAAAAATTAATATTGGATTTAAATACGTTTTATAAACAAATATATTCGTCACTACGCTGTTGTAAGAAATGTTTAAATAATTAACCGCTTTTAGAAAGGTAGAAAAAAGATGATGAAAATTTGAATAATTACCAATGAAGTATCCTCTGGGGTTGGGGGACAAAAGAGCCAAGAATGAGAAGTTTGGCGAAGAATTCACTGTTGAAGGGGACCAGAAATGAAATTAGGAAAATGAAGAAAAGAATCGAGGGAATATGAAAAAACTGAGATGAGCAAGTCATTCACAACTTTCAAGACTGATTGTGTTTGTAAGTAGCTACGCGTGCGCGCACGTAAAAATCAAAATGGAGATGATATTTTGGAAAAACCCGACGTCATATTTGGAAAATGAAATATTGTTTTGTTTTGTGACTTTACTGTTTTGAGTTAGGATGTCAGAAATATTAATTATATCATGTTTTTGACTGTGATTTTTCACATGCACTCTGTTGATGTCATTTTTTATGACTGACGTATTAAGAATGGGCGTTTCAACAGTATACAAAACTTACGAGTAATATAGCAATTAATTTGATATCAGACTTACGCGTATCCAAGATACTTTTTAAAAATTTAATGAGAAAACCTGATTTATATCTACAGCGGCTCCAAACATATAAATATCTGGCTCGTCGATAAAAGTTTATTTCTTTTATTCAACAATCAACTACAGAAGCAAGATGATGAAAACGCAATAAATAATTTTTGGTCGTATTTTCAATACGTTTGTCCTTAAATCGTTTAAAACCCAAAATGTAATATTAACATCATTATTTCAATAACAACAACAACAAAATTACACGTTCGTGTTTTATGGGACAGGATTTGAGGACTGTCTCAGGCGTTCCTAGTGTCACCCCCACGAACAAGTCAATAAAGTTCGTCTTAACTATGTGTGTGAAGTTATCACGACTCATCACAAATGGAATGAAAATACGTACACTAATTTGATCAAAGGAATAACCAAGTCGCTCTTGGGTTGTTATAGTGATGCAAGCTTTTTGTCGATTGTCTTTCGGGCTTGTATTAAATCTCCAATTACTCACTGGTGTTCGTAGACTTTTCACTGTTACCATCACGAAACGTTCGTTAGAGTTTTATTTTCAGGATAACAAGGCACGAAGATTAAGCCAGTGCTCGTCATTGTTTACTTTAATGGCAGTTCCCGTCATCGACGTGGTCATTCGTTAACGAGTTTTAAACTGGGCAAACTGTGTGGAATCTGATAACTTAAAACTAACATTTAGTTTAGTTTTAATTGTGTGTGTTCATAGCTCAAGTGTTATGTTATCCCTCAGTCTTTGAATACCTTTTTTAAGATAATTTACCAAGAAACGTCTAATCAGTGTACTGTTTTCTGATAATGAGAATGACCGGTATATAACGTAACGTTATTTAACGCACCATGTTTTCTTACTGTGGAAAACAATACAGAGTGGAAAAGTGCAAACACCTCAAACAGCTATCAGGTGCTCCACCACCTGGAGCGTTAAATGATAATTAATATTTAAATATCAATTGCATCAAAACGAATTGGAATGAAGAACACTCAAAAAGACATTAATTTCATCTGTTTTTCAATTGTTGTGACGTTGTTCTTTTGTTGTAACCATAACAAATTAATTTATTTCTTCCTACAAGCTTCTAAATTGTTATAACTTGTAGGTTTAAATTTACAAGTGACGTTCAAACGGAAATCTTCGCTAACAGTATTACAATTTACGTGGACAATTTCACGGCTAATCAGTAGATAACTGAATATACGTGATAATTAACACTGATACAAATACGTCACTGAAACTAAGAACTTCACTGCTCGAGCCCACTAGTATTTATATCTGTTGGTCTCACTTCTAGATGTTCATTGAAGTTATTAGTTTTTCGGAACGTCATCTAGAATATTCTAGGTGTTCTAGCAGTTAATTGATCATAACGTGATGCGCACTCTAGCTAACATCTAATTAAAGCACCGAAGATATAGCTCGCAACACTATATTGAATCAGTTGGCTTTTAAAATTGTATGTTTTTGTATCTATGTTTTATCGCTCATCAAGCGCATTTTTAGTCATTATTTGTGACACTGATGTCATGTCTTCTAACATAAATGTTCATCCAAGTTTGTCTTGAAAACTTGTACATTGTGATTATCACATGTATATAATCGAAATAAACCCTGGTTATCTTGAGAAGGCCCAAAATATTATGTCGCAGGCTTCAAGACGTTCATGTTATAAAAATATATTAAGTTTAGAGAGACGTTCGATATCATCAAGAACCTGAACGACCAGGTTTAGCTATCCATAATTTAGAACTGATGACCAGAGTGATGATATCCAGTAACTTCCGCCGCCTATTAACGCTTATTTTTTAACCAAATAACAGTATTAACATTTACAACTATAACGCTCACACAACTTAAAGCTCAACATCTCGCGGCTTGAACTTTGGAACCCTAGATCCGGAGCCTAACACGCTAACACACAAGCTAGATTTTATTATTATGTTTCTGTTATTCTCGGCTTAATGTACATATTTTATATCTTTCGTGGACATCAACATGGATCGATAATCAAATACCTAAAACAAACAAACACACACAAAAATGCGATCGAGAGTTCGTGTACATATCTCATTTATTATTTAGAGAAGTCTTACAGCGTTTTTGATTAACACAGAAGCATGCATCCCACGTAAATACTTTTTAACATGTAGAAAGTATTACCACTTATCTGTTCTGTTAAATTAGTCTCGTTTGTTTCTTTTTCGATGATATATTTTAACCCATTCTAAGCAAACGAAACTATTTGAAATTTCAAATAGGTTATGGCTCGCGTTTCGGTTGGAAGCCTTCGAGAACTCTACTTCTAGAATAAATTCCTAAAGAAGCCTTAACTATAAGAAACACTAACTAAAAAGCATCTGTTATTTTCAGTAAAATGTGTACTATGATTATAGTCAGAATTTCACATACTTAAAAAAAAAATAGATAGTCTCGGTTTCTTTAAAGTAGTATCAGAAAAGTTACTGTATGGTACTTCGCAACCTCTGAATCGGATAATACTATTACATGTATTATCTGATAACAGACTTATCTAGTGTTTCCTTACATCAAAATAAATAAACATTTTATCATGTTGCTACGTCTTGTTTACTTTTGTTGAAATGCACAAAATAGGAAATTTAAGTATTTGGTGACGTCTGGTATAAGAAATGAATGTTTTACACATCTTTCATGTCCTGATTACGACTTTTATGTACCATGACCTTTTGTAGATTACTAGTAGGAGCACCCCTTGCACAGACGTCTCAACCAGGAACAAACCGCTCAGGCGCCCTCTATCAGTGTGAGCTGAATACATTCAGAAAAGACTGTAGGCAAGTTGATGTTGAATCAGACGTTTTGGGTAAGTGATCATTGTTGAATTTTGAAATGTTCGCAATCAATAATTAATTATTTTTCGTTTGTTTTAATTTGACATAGCTGACTTTTAATTGTTATAAAACTGAGAAAGGGATAATACAAAGCGTAGTGTAGTTTTCTTTTAAAATATCAACAGCTTTTTGAGCACAAATCAAGAAAAACACAGTTTTAAAAAATATGAAGTCAATTACCCTATTAGTTTCGAGGTACCACGTGCATCATAATATAGTTGTTATCTGCCAATTATGGACAAAGTAACTGAATAATTTTTCTTCTTCATACACATTGTGTGTTTTTATATTTACATTTATACGTGAACTGTTTCACATTAATTATTATATATTGTAGCATATGAAATATAGCTGACACATCATTCTTAAAAACAATAAATACCAAATTTTAGCATTCAAATATGATTTAAACATCTGAAGTGTACTATACCTTATATATTATTAATACAATACAACTTGTTTTCGTGTTCAGAGCCGGCTGATGATGTTGACAAAGATGGTCAATGGCTTGGAGTTTCAGTGACGAGCCAGAAACCTGGTGGCTACGTTATGGTAGGCAACTATTTGTTTTTTATTTAAGATATGTTTAACTCAAAAACAATGATATTAATATATCATTTTGTAAGATATTAGTATCAATAATCAACCATGTTGATATATGTATTCTAGATGAAGATTATTGACACTAAAATGTAGTTAGAGAGAGTTACATTTGGCTCAGTGTTGTCAGTTAATTTTGAAGGCATCTTATACCTTTTATCTGATTCAAATGTAATAACATCATTGCAGTAATTCAACTCAGTCTTGGAAGAATGAATCAATCTTATCAACATGTGCTGTTTTGTGAAGTGAGCCCTCCAAAGCTTAATAATCGATAAAGAAATGAATTCTGCTTCTGATATTGAAACCACTATTTCGAATCCAGTCAGTTCAGAGTCAGATTTGGCCTGCATTTTTCACTCTCGCTCTTACTACTCATCACTCACATTATTGAAAATTAAGAGCAATTTGTATATGTCATTTCTTTATGACTATATCTCTTCATATTAAAAATGCAAAAACAAGAACAGCCCTTGTAATAGCTGTCATAAAAGGTAAACGTCTTTGTGTTCTCATTCTCAGACTTCTATGAGCTGATCCTGTGCACAACACTGACCTATTATATTTTAATTAATTGTTGTAAAATTACTGTCTTTTCTTTACCACCAAAGCTGTTGTCTTTAACTGTTGTTGTGACATAATTTCCAAATATGATACCACATTTTCTTTTGTTTATAATAAGTGCTTTCACTTAAACAGTTTCTCACAAAACTATAAAAATTATTAGACATGTAGTTGGTATGGTTGGCATTTTCTTAAAAAGATGCTTTGAGACATTTTAGTTTTGCTTGTTAATAATTCTGAAAGAATTCTGAAATTAACATATAATTATGTTTTTTTCTGATGGTGTTGTAATATGCTACCATGGCCCTTTAATAGATGTCCATACTGGTATTAGTTGATCAATAATATGTTTGTAAGGTTAGTGTTTTTGATAAAAGTAATTGAAGTGTTGCCAGCAATGATTTCAGCAGATAAAAATTCAGAAAGCATTACATTAATTTTTTCGTTGAGTAGGTTGAGAGGCCGTATTATGATGTATAAGAAAAGATTTGTAATATTCCTTAAAGAAAAAAAATTGCAAAATCTATACACTTTTATTTAATACATACTTTTTAAATGCAGATTTGCACGTTGTTGACATGTTAAAGTTTGGTGATATTGTAGCTTATGGCTTAATTATTTGCCTTATTTTTACAGATTGCTTAAAAATACATTTTTTGTTTTGTGTTATTTTATTGCAAATACAACAGTGATATTTTACTCCTCCGTGTATTTTCAGACCTGTGCTCATCGATATGTGCTAAAGGGATCAGATTTTCGTTGGGGAGAAGGTGTTTGCTATTCTCTTACACCAGCTTTAGATCGTCATCGGGAATGGGACCCGTGTCTAAATCGTGCTAGGAACAAAGCTCATGAACAGTATGGTTATTGTCAAGCTGGAGTTAGTGTGTATATTACAGAGGTAAGTAGGATAACTGAATGTGCAGCTTATTTCAGTGTTTTGTTTTATATACATCAGTGCTTTAATAGGAAGATTTTAATTATTCTAACTCTTGCTTTACACTGAATCGTACTCTATTCACTAGCATTGTAAATGTTACAAGGTTTTTTCAAGTTATATGCCTAATTTTTTAAGTAAATATTTTGCATATTGAATTAGAATTATTTTGGGATAGTCATTGGTAGAGAAGCATTATGTATTCATGGCTTGACAAGAATGTCAGCTTTTACTATCCTATAGTAGCTGATGTAGCATGTTTCCTACAGTTTAAAGCAATACTTAGTAATTTGTAGTTACAAAATTAATGGTAGAGGTGAGAGATTATGAGAAATGCTTAAACCTATAACATAAGAAAAGTTTCCTGGCTGTTCAGCAAGCATCATTTTGTAATGATGCTTTTCAGCATGATAAATTTATTCTCTATGTATCTGAAAGCTCATATGAAAACTGGGATTGAATTTTAAGATATATAAGAGTAGACAGCACACCACTAGTGGGATGGAATCTTTACTTATTAGCATAGATTATTAGTTCACAAAGAGAAGGTAATGTTTGTACATGTATTTCCTTGGCAATATTACAAAGCTAAATAAATGCCATGTGGATTTTTGTTCCCTACATTTTGAATCTTTTTTAGTGCATAAAATGAAACTGATGTTTTTCACTTTTTAAAATATTGAATCTATTCATGAACTCTTACTTTTATTTTAAGGATAACAATCTAGCAATTGGTACACCAGGACCATACACATGGAAAGGAACAGTTTTTGTGAATAATGTTCGTTTTGGCATCTTGGATGACCAATTGTGGTATAAAGGCCCTTTAATGGATATAAATTTGCCACCAGTAAAGAAGTATAGTTATCTTGGTAGGTATTTGTAAAGTGTTTATGGTATTTAAACTACTTTTTCATTCTCATCAAACAGATTGAATCATTATCAAATTTTTACATTAAGAAGTATGAGGCATTAAATATACTATTTATCAAAATTGAGGAAAAACAAGAAAATTGTACATTTCATAGATACATCATTTATTATGACTATGATTTTGCCAGTAAAGGCATCATCAGGTACAGATTGAAATTTTTTGTAACAGGGTTTATATATATATATGTTTAAATAAAGAACCGGAAGTGACCTTGACATTCACCTGGAGACAAGTGGGGAGGAGCTTAAGTTGGTTTGGTCATTTTTTCTGGATTTGTTTTTAGACATCTATTTATTTCTAAAATTTCCAGACTGTCTAGTTTTCAACTTTTTTTCACAGATATGTAAAATTTTGCAGTTTTTTTCTGGAACAAATTGATGTTTAGTTTCAATCAGGTGGGATGCAAAGGTTGAATCCATTTTCCTTAATTTCCTTGTAGAGTGTTCTTTAATTCTTGTTTCTATGGAACATCCTGTATATATATATATATACACTATTGCAGTATCAGTTACACTGTTTATTACTTTTTACTGTAACTAATTATTTTGTGAGCTTCTGATCAGTAACAATAAACTAGTTTTCAGCTTTTTCTTAAGATAATGTGAATTAAAATTGCAAACCTTTTATGAAATTTTTTGTGTGAAGTATTGAAAAGATCTGTATAATGTAAAACCTTAATGTAGTAAAACAATCGCATTGTTATTATAAATAGCTGATAAAAAAAAAAATAGAACTTCAGTTGACTGGTGTGATGCAAGTTAGATAAAAGAAGTAAATTATCTGAAATACTTGTGGTATTAAGTTCTTTTTATTCATTTTTATTGAATTTATTTATTTTTTAATTAGGCATTTACCATAAATGTGTGTGTGTATATTTTGTATTTATAATATTTACATGCATGTGATATCAATGAGTGTTAACAATAGTTTATTTAGTCTCTAAGTCACAAACAAAGAAGATAAATATCTGTAACCTGATAAAACTGCTAAACTGCTTTCATTACTTTATTTAAAGACATATTTGTTGTATTATTTTTTCCTAGGTATGTCGGTCACAGGAGGAAAATTTTTTGGAAGTCATACCAGTTTTGTGGGAGGAGCTCCACGGTCAAATGGTACGGGTCAAGTGGTGTTTTTCAAGAAGGATGAAACTAAACAAAATGAGCACTTTGTAGTAGAGCTAGTATTAGATGGAGAATTATTTTTATCCTCTTTTGGCTATTCATTAACATCTCTAGACATTAATGGAGATGGGTAAGATTTTTGTTCATAATCTGTTTTTTTTTGGGTTTTTTTCCATTATATTTCAGAATTTAGACATAATTTTTATTTCTTTTTTGAGTTTATATTTGTATGATATTATGTATTATGGCAAATGAAATGAATTAATTATGTGATGAAATATGGAATTAAAATAATCGAAATATGGCAGGTTATTATGTGTTATTGAAAATTTCATTTGTAAAAGATAATATATCAAAAAATGTATTAAATAAAGGCATTAAAGGTAAGTAAAATTTCACAATATTGTCACCTTTTTTATTTCATTGGTATTTGAAGCACTTAATTATCCTTATATATAGGTATATACATATTTACGTATATGAACTTTTCTTATCCAGATTTCATAACCAAGATAATGGTTGTCAATGTCTAAATTTGATAATTTAATGGTAAGGAAAAGTTGATTTCCATTGCAATATCTCTTCTTTTTTTTACTTCTCTGTTGTTGCCATAATTATTAAATGATTTGGTAATAATGTGTAATATGAGGAGCATTTAACCTTCTTTAATTATCATTAATGTTTTATGGCCTATGTAGGATTAAGTTTTAAAGACATTTTGCATGTTGATATTTTCTACAGAGCACTGGACCTAGCAGTTGGAGCTCCATTCTACTTCAGCAAGAAGGGTGGAGGAGCTGTGTATGCCTATTTGAACACAGGAACTGTATGTTTCTATACATCTAATTTTTTTTTTATTTACAAACCCATGTATTTTATGCCCCTGCACACACACATTGGATCACCTGTTTACATTTCACTTACTAAGTGTAGTTTAGTTAATGTGATCATTTTAATATGTTTACTTTTTAACACTGAAAACATGTATGTACCCATACATATAAGAATTATGTGTGTATATATATATATATATATATATTACTGTTAGTATATTGCATTTATCAGTACAGAAAATTGTTTAATACATCAAGTTTTGGTTTTTGAAAACTGTTAACAAGGAAGGAACCCAATGAATGATTCAATGTATATTTAGTCTCTATACATTGGTTGCTTTTCCGTGTGTGTGTGTGTCAGTGTTGTAGTCGAGACCTCAATGTCCAAGACCATAATCTAGTAATAAATTACACAATGAAAAATAAAGCAGGAAGATTAAAAATTACATGCACCAAATAAACTTTATTAAAATCTTAATAGCAAATCTTTTACATGTTAACCCCACAGTTTTTGTTTTAACATCTCCTCCTATGAAAAATAAAACAATGCAAAAAAGTAATAATGAATGAATAAAAAATTAAAAAAGTTTAGCAAATAAAACTAAAACTGGTATTGGTGTCAGTACATTCTTTATGATGTTTGAAGCCAAACAAGATCACAGCAGATGTACTAGACATGTTTAATATCAGGGATAATTGCTAATATTTGATGAAAATATGTGCACCAAGTGAAGTTCATATAAACTTGTAGCAAGTCTATGTGTAATGCTATGTACAGTAGCAGTTAGTTTTGAATAGTGTGTGTTATACTATGTATTAACGTACAGGCAATATGATGGTTGGTGACATAAACAAAAATAAGAGAGACACTATAAACATCATTGCAAAGGTGTAGTGCCAAGCGGGCTTTACTAGTAAGACATATTTGATGATACACTAAGCCTTGTATAAATTGCTACATAATCAGTATTTAGTGCTTAATAATTCTGGGTAAGTTACTGGTCTAATACTGTTAACTTTTAAATTTAGCCAGTCTTGTTTTCCAAAACCTGTAAAACATCGAGACAAAGACCCAGAGGGTGGTCTCAAGACTTACAACACTGGTGTGTGTGGATATTTACACTGATGTATGATGTGTACAAAAACTGTACCTATATATAAATAGTATTGTATGCAGGCAGATTGTGTGTGTTGTTGTGTTTATTTCAGAATACCATTAATAGATATACAGGAATTGTTTGTTTGTGCGTACCCAAGCTGTAGGTACTGGTTAAAATGGATTATATACTCCAAACTAATTAATGGTTTTATGTTAACAGAGATTTTATTGTTTCATTTGTATAATTATGTATTAATTATGAAGATGTGATACTTATTAACATAATTAGTATACCTGTTTTGTTTATTACTTTATTGTGTTGGTGTAGATACTCACCACTCACACATACCTATATGTACATTGTACTTATATGAATGTTGATGCTTAGAATGATCAGACCAAGAAAACATTTAGTGAAATTCAAGGTGGAGGGCAGACACTTTGTAATTATAACAAATATGAAGTCTGTTTTGATTGGTGGGTGAAATAACCCTTTCTAGAATGGGTTCCATTTATTTTGTTTTTATTCAACTGCATATATGTTGATGACAATTTCAATTATATTCAGTGTAGCTGTAGCTCTTAATTGTGAAAGTAGTTAAGAATCTCATGAGGGTTTGGCTCTTTAGAACAAATGAGTTTTCAAGTTAACATTGATAGTCGCTCTTCGAAAAAATAAAATGATAGTTTGGCAATAATAAAATGCATTTTAATTGATGTCTGAATCACTTAGCTTGACTGCTGTATTCTTTCACATGAATTGACAGATTAAAATGGGTAATTTTAGTAGGTATAGCTTATCAGAACCTACACATACATATTTGTACCTCCTTATCTGGACACCTCTAAGCCGAACCCTCTATTGATTATAAATTTTATCTTGTAAATGGGAAATTGAATGAAAATTCATAAATTGCCATAACACAAAATAGTTTGCATGAACACAAAACTAAATTCTTTAATTTACTGTAAAAGGAGTGCATAAAATCAACATTTATAATTATGGTCCCCATTAATTTTCTAGGGTTTTGAAAAAGAAACTGTACCAACAAAATTAACTGGAAAAGTGGAATCTGCATTTGGGATGGCTCTATCAACTGCAGGAGATTTGAACAAAGATGGATACTATGGTATGCTGAAGTGCATTTGAGATTTGTTTTGAACTTTTAGATTGTTAACAGTTAAACCAATCTTTTAGGTCACACTAGCCTTAAGGTAATTTTTGAATAATAAATTGTCTTGAGTATCACATTGTACTTTATGATAACATAAGAAGTTTCAAAACTTAATAATAAAATGTTTCAAGAGGTATTTCTGTTTTCACAATGGTACTTTTTTTTTTTTTATCAGAGAATAAGATATAATCAGCTAGTTTCCTAAAAAAAATATATTTTGTTTTTCACAAGAGATTATATGCTTATAATGAATTTGTATTTTTAGCCAAATGTAATACTAGTTGATCTAAATCAAAACTTCTAATTTTATTTTCTTGCTCTCCCTAAACATTTTTTAAAGATGTAACTTTGCTTGACATCTGATAGACTAGTTTTGACTAAAGTAGTTACAAAAGTGTTTATAATTGTAGTTTCACATCACAAAAGGTTTGTTTTAGATGTGTAAAACTGTCTAGATATGTCCATTAGTACTATTTTATGTCACAGAAGTGTTTGTTATAGATGTGTAAACTTGTCCAGATTTGGCTATTAGTGCTGTTTTACATCATAGAAGTGTTTGTTAAAGATGTGTAAACCTGTCTAGATTTGACTATTAGTGCTGTTTTACATCATAGAAGTGTTTGTTAAAGATGTGTAAACCTGTCTAGATTTGACTATTAGTGCTGTTTTACATCATAGAAGTGTTTGTTAAAGATGTGTAAACCTGTCTAGATTTGACTATTAGTGCTGTTTTACATCATAGAAGTGTTTGTTAAAGATGTGTAAAACTGTCTAGACTTGGCTATTAGTGCATCTTTGTTATAGATATGTGAGACTGTATGTTTGGTTATTAGTGCAGCTTTACATCACAGAAGTTTTGTTATAGATGTGTAAAAATCTATCTAGATTTAGCTATTGGTGCCCCCTATGAAGAAAATGGTAGAGGTGCTGTTTACATACACTTGGGATCAGCAGAAGGTCTTACTGTAAAAGCAGTTCAGGTATGTTTTATGAATGCCTTTGTAAGGTATTACAAATTATAGTTAGTTAAAATCTATTGAGCTATATTAATAATTACTTAGTCAAACATTTACTTCAGTCACTGTATCCTAACTGTAAATGCATAACAGGTCTTCTCAGCAGCAAAGAAAAAAGCACTATGATTAAGTAACCAGTTAGCCCATATATACTTCAATAACATTTATATATCAGTCCATTGAAAGAAACAAGTCAACATTAGTCAATAGGAATGCATAAGAATTGTATTAGATCTCAGAAAAAATTAAGTCTTGAGATTCTGTTGCAATATATATCATTTTATTTGGTAAAACTGAATATAACTAAAATGTAATATGGGGCAAAACAAACAGTTTTTTTTGTAATATAACATGATTTATGCCTGAGTGTTCTGATGATTGTGTTTGATGGCATTATTATTCTAGTTCAAGAAAAGGATCATAAGATAATCTTGTGCCTATGATATATTAAATTAGATTTACTTATGATGTTTCAATCACTGTATCTTTCTTTCTGTTTTTTTTGTTTGTTTGTTTTAGAGGTTAGTGTAAATGTTAAAGCAGGGACATCTTCCATCATCTTTTAATGTATTTTAAGTTTTCAAGAGAACCCTAAACATTCATTATCAGAGTGTTGTTACTGTTGTTGAATCAATAACAGTAGAGCTATTTCTACAGAAGTTTCAACTCATTTATTTTAAGGAATCAATTCTATAGATTTTACTAGATTATGTAATTTTTATGGAAGTTAAACAAGAAGAATGTCAGTATTTGAATTGCACACTATATATTAGAAAGTTGAGTGTTTTATTTTTACTTAATTCTATGCTATATTATTAGAAAGATGAGTGTTTTACTTTTACTTAATTCTACACTATATTATTAGAAAGATGAGTGTTTTACTTTTACTTAATTCTACGCTATATTATTAGAAAGATGAGTGTTTTACGTAATTCTACACTATATTATTAGAAAGATGAGTGTTTTACGTAATTCTACGCAAAACACTCATCTTTCTAATAATATAACTTTTACGTAATTCTACACTATATTATTAGAAAGATGAGTGTTTTACTTTTTTTCTAATTCTACAGCATTTGTTTGGGTGTTATATTTATTTTTCACCTGTATGATAATTCTTGTATGAACCTTTACAGGTTATCAGACCTTCAGATTTTCCCAGAAAAGCTCTGTTTAGAACCAGATTAACCACTTTTGGATACTCTCTGTCAGGAGGATTGGATATGGATTCTAACAGTTATCCAGATCTCCTTGTAGGAGCTTATGATAGTGATGCTGTGGTCCTCTTAAGGTAAGAGAGGATCTTGTATTTTAATGGTTATCTAACAGTTTTAAAAAAATATTCTTACCTCTGTTGTACAATGATTAATTGATAGTGGTGGATGCCTAAGCTGAAATCATTTCCAGCATAATTAATTTTTTCCATGATTCAAATAAAGCAAAGTGTATTTTGAAATGTAGTACTGTTTATTTTATGTCTTTTTTTTTACCTGTGTCAGTTTTTCTGTATTTAATTTATTTAGGTTTGTTTTTTAATAATTGTCTGTGTTTGGATTAATATTAGGAACATAAGAAAAAAAAAAGTTATATGAGGACAAAATAATAAATAAGTTGGAGAATTTGCAAGTAAAATTTTTACATTTGTGGAACTAAATATAACGATTCTTGGTTCTGATATTATTTTTTATCACATAGATCTCGACCAATTATTGGTGTGACAACAACAGTTAAAGGTAACTTTACACATATAGACCCACAAAAAAAGGGCTGTCCAGACGATCCTTCTAATCCACGTGTATGGTGAGTTCAAATTTTGAAATCACTGAACAGAATCTTTTGTGAAAAAAAAAAAGAAATATTTATTGTTCTCTAAACTGTTATAAAATCTTGTCTTTAGGGTATTTTCTAATTACAGATGTGCAAAGTGAAGTTTGAGTAGAATAACAAAATTAAGATATTACTTTCAGCAAAATATGTAAATTAATGTATAAACTGGTATTACTTAGTATCAAGTACATGAACTGAATACAATATTGTTTTTAATTATGTAAATTCTTATCAGATAATCAGAGGAGTTTTTAGGTTTTAACAACAAGTTAATCAGAAAACTATTCTGGAGATTTTCTCCTCTAATTACATATAATCTGATGATACAGTCTATATCAAATGTATTGGTTTTGACAATTTACAGACATGAAAGGAGCAGCCATTTGATCAATCACCCTAATAAAGTGTTATTAACACTAATTATGTGAAAAACTCATTACCAATAATTTATCTCAGTTCAGAGGTACAATAGTTGAATATTTTTTGTTTGGGAAAACTACTTAGAATTCCAATAAGATATGAGAAAATAAGGAACTGCTTTTGTGGTTTAGTAAGTATTTTGATTTTTTTAACACTGGATGAAATTATGTATACTTAACAACTCTTATATCTTGTTTTAAAACTTGCAGTTTGGACTCAAATGCATTAATTCAAAACTGTTTTCTATATTGTGAAAATTTTACATTTATTAGTTGCAATTTCATAGTTTACCAAGTTAATAAGATTGTATTCCTTTGGTTTAATATCATCTTTACTAAAAAAGAGAGCGATTTTAAAAAAAAAAATAAAAAAAAAAAAAAAAAAATAAAAAATAAAATATGTAACGTGTACATGTTAAAAAAACATCAGTTTTGTTGGGTTTTTTTGCTGCCGCTCTTATCTGAAAATTCAACCTCATGAAAGTAAAAATATAAGCTTTCCATTGCATGATTTGATAAGTATTATGAGGAACCTAAAATAACTGTCAAGTAAGACAAGATATTATTTTATAGCATGGGTTATCTAAAGTATAACACAAGTAGCATTCT